CATGGGTTTGGCCTAATATGCTAACGAGCTGTGCTGTCAGGGGTGTGACCTAATATGCTAACGAGTTTCTGCTGTTGGGTGTGGCCTATTATGCAAATGAGTGCCTGCTGGGCTTTTTCTACAAAAAAAGCCCTGCCTGTGTATGAAAAAGACAGACTGGTTTGCCACGCACTGTGAGTTACCATGGAGGCCAGCTTAAGATTCCTGCAACAGCCAAGCTGGAAGCAGAGCCTTTTCTGTGGTTGCATCTTCCTTGCAGAACATTCTGTTAGTGAAGGCCCACCAAGTTCCTTTTCTTGTATTTTGTAGAAAAGCTAGCGAGGAAAACGAATAGTATGCTAATTTTTTTTTTTTTAATGAGCTGTCTAGAGCTGTCTTGAAGCCAATTGGTGAATCATTACTGAAATGTAGTTATGAATAGTACTGATAAGTTGCTTCCATGTGAGGCAATTCCTGTTCTTTCCCTCAGCCATAGGCCTGGCGGGAACTGCATTACAGGCTCTGTGGAACTGCATTAAATCCCGCAGGGCCCGGATCTCAACTGGGAGAGTTGTTCCACCAGGTTGGCGCCAGAGCTGAGAAAACTCTGGCTCTGGTTGAGGCCAGGTGGCCATCCTTTGGGCCGGGGGTAACCAGTAGATATTGATCATAGGAACGCAAAGCCCTTCAAGGCACTTATTGGGAGAGAAAGTCCTGTAGATATATTGGTCCTAATCCACATAGGGCTTTAAATGTGAGAACCAAAATCTTGAACTTGATACAGAATTCAACTGGGAGCCAGTGCGGCTGACACAGCCCTGGATGTATATGTTCCCGTAAAGACATGCACCACTGCATTCTGGACCAGTTGCAGTTTCCAGGTCAATCTCAAGGGTAGCCCTGCATAAAGAAAGTTACAGTAACCCAACCTGGAGGTATCCATTGCATGGATCACTGTAGCTAAGTCACAGGGAGAGAGACAGGAATATTGCTATAGTATTGTAGTGCTATAGTGATATACCGAACTACAGACCTTCCAGTTTGCAGCTCAGCGTCTTAACCTCTGAGCCACCGCAGCCTCCTTTTTAGAACACTTGAAAGCACTTTGCACATGTAGTTAGTAATACTTTAACAACCCACCCGGTAAAGTACCCTGGTATTATCCTCCTCATTTTAGTGAGGCTGAAGCTTAGAGATGTTGACTTATCTAAAGTCAACCAATGAGCAAGTCCCTGTCCCTGTACTGCTCTCTATTTCTCAGTGCAGAGTTTCTCTGCAGACTGGTGAGGTGTCAACTGAGAAATAGCCTTCTGAACAATGGATTATCCATGGCTGTACAGAAGGACAGGAATGAGAAGCATTAAGTCACATGCCATGATTATAGAAACCTGAAGATACCGAAAATAAAAGGCTTTGAATTTATCTGTCATACCGTGTTCAATGAGCAGACGATTGTCCTATGAATTTCCTTCCAAATGTGATCTTTAGAAGAAGAGATTGGATTTATACCCCGCCCTTCACAAGGGAGTCTCAGAGTGGCTTACAAACACCTTTCCCTTCCCCTCCCCACAACAGACACCCTGTGAGGTAGGTGGGGCTGAGAGAGCTCTTGACAGAAACGGCTCTTTTTCAAGAACAGCTGTGCCAGAATTATGGCTTGCCCAAGGTCATCCAGCCAGGTGCAAGTGGAGGAGTGGGTTCTCCCAGATTAGAGTCCGTGCACTTAACCACTACACCAAACTGGGTTTAGTGTTTAAAATAGTCTCATTTCCCGATCCTGGTCAGGATCCCTAAGTACCCTAAGTGAAGCTTAGTCCACCTATGCTTTTAAAATGAACTAAAAAGGGAACACTCCAGGGAAAACTGTGGTGGCGTTTTGACTGAATATATGTGATTTATCCTGAGCTTTAAAGTATCTGAACCTATATCTGACGTTCATAATACTTGCAGTAGTTCTGAAATCTGTGTGGAACACTTTACAGGGAGAACACTGTGTTGCACCATCCCCTCACTTACTGAAATTAGTTCTACTGAATAATATGGGATCCTTCCCTGGGTAAAGATTGTGTGAAGCTGCATTTTAAAAGTGACAGTAGGTACCTAAGTATGTTGTTGTCCACAACACTTTAGAAAAAAGGCTTGTAAAGATCACAGAATATACCAACATGCTAAAGTTTCACCATCCTGAACTACTTCCAAGCCAATTAAAGACCAGCTGCTAAACCCAGATTGGCTGATCTACTATGTCCATTGCCGATTTCATCACAGTTAAGAAGGAAATGTCAAACAGCTAAAATTTTACTCTGGCAGAAAACACACATCACTTCACAAATGCAAAAGCAGCTTGAATGGAAAAAAGGGTTATTT